CAGGTACACATGCACACACACACACGCACATGCACACGAACGTGCATACTTCAAAGGCACCACTGCACTGTGTTGATCCATAAAGGTGAAAGCCAGAAAGAACCATTCAAATCTGTCTTGTGAGACTCCTTCCCCCTGTCCCTGTTTGGATTTTCGGGTAGGTCTCATAGCTTTTCCGATTAATTTTATTAGAGAGAATGTTCTCCAGTCATTACTAGTCACAAAAGCAGTTTTGTGTCATCAATTAAAATACTCATTCCACATAAAAAATAAAAGAATCTGAACTCCATTTAACATTAAAGTTTCTCTTTTCTCCAAGCCTGATAAACGTTTAAGGGCCTGAAGTTTAGAAGAATATGTGTGGTCAGTTTATTTTCTCTCTCCTAGCTGCTCCTTCTCTTCCTTTCCACCTCCAGAAATAAATTAGTTATGGCTTTTGAACTCACAAGGGTGGAAAGGGAATGGGGGGATGGAAAGCAAGTTTCCAGAAAGGTTTTTCTTTCCCCTCAGTAATTTAGACTGGTTTGTGGCGAATGCATGGTGCTATCTTTCACTTTTCATATGTGCCAGAAGAAAAGTCTCTTTAGCTGTGTAGGAAGGAATCAAATTATTGGTTGACAGTCCCAGCTCTGGGCTAAGATACTAAAGACCAATTTGGATAATTTTACAGAGAAGTTTGCCAGAGCTCTGTAGGAAAAGCAAGCATTGAATGAAGCGATCGAATAAAATCACGACACAGCAGCAGCGGAGGAGCGTGCTGCAATACTTAGTGTACTTCAAAAACTAAATGCTGGCAGCAAAAACTTTTTGAGTCATTTCTCTCTAAATACAGATTCAGGAAGTGCACTTGTAAAATGAGTTCATTTGTTTGTAGTTTCATCTCAACTATAGCTGCCAGCTAAAAGAGAGACTTGAAGTAGAATTGCCCTACATTTTCAGGAGACAGGACCATGCTTTAACAATACTTGTATGGTGTACCGGTTATCACTGACTGAAACAAACTTTAGTAATTAACAGCAAGAACTATAAGGATTTACTTTTTATAAAGAATTGATTCAATATGGGACTTCAAAATGACTGTCAAAAAACAGTTTATTTTCAACTTACTTTAGAGGCAAAAGTGAAATTATATTTTACTTACTGACATTAAACATTCTTGTAAATAAAGTCAAGAGATTTTCCTCCCTTGACAGTGAAAACACTATAATTAAAAACCAAAACAATAATGAATATATGCACTAAAGAATAAACGTGAGTTAATGAGTGTATCATAATGTTAGAATAGGTGTTTACCTTTAACCTGATACATATTCCACATATTCAAAATGAGAAATTAGGATGTCATTATTAATTTATCAAAGGACTCATTGCAAGCTTTATTTGAATAGTTACCTTTCATTTACTTTATTTCTTTAGGCCTGGCCTGGGAAAGCAGGATTCCCCACATCAATCAGTAGGACCTTATTTACTTGTTAAAAAAAGTATTGACTTTAAACAATAATCTTAGAGAAATATCTTTTAAAGTGATATTTGAAAAACTTGTATCTTTTGAGTGTACAATGATGTGATCAGGGCTAAGGAGTATAAAATAAAGAGAAAGACAGTTTCCCTCAAAAGCTTATAATCTCACTAAGAAGGCAAAATAGACTCTGAAGGCTCGAGTTAGTGGAAAGCATATAACAAGGAGTGTTTCAGTGACCCTGAGAGCAGTAAGGGTCATGCGGATGCAGAGGTCCCAGCCAAGTCGTGGCCCAGGCGCAGATAAGCTGCAGTTGGATTTTGAGCAGTGTCAGAGCAGAAAGGAGGGTGAGGACTATGCAAGGTGAGGGTGGTGGGTGGCTGTGGGAAGGGACTAGTTAATAAAAGCATCAGTGGATGGTAATGAGCATAAAATGCAGGAAAGGGTATTGAGACTAATTTTTCTCATGCTGAGGGCCCACATAGGAGAGAATGTCACGTCCAGAAAGCTACAGCTACACTGCAAGGGGCCAATACATAGGCGACACAGAAAAAGACAGGGAGAAAAATGCTGGTAAGAGAAAGAGTACTTGTGCTTTTGGAAAAGGCCATGATTGCATCTTAACACCTTAGAGGTGGGTTTTTGGATTCAGGGGAAAGGAATCAAAAAGCAGGCTAGGAAAAGAGAGTCTGATTTCAGAACTAGAGCAGGTGAGGTTGTCCTGTGTGCCTTTTCTCCTTCTCAATGCCAAGCTTCTCCTAGTGTATCTGTTACATCATTCTCAGGTAAGCAGGTAACTGGTTATTATTGTCATTACTGAAGGGAATTGAATTTAAGTAAGCCTATGGTTTTTATCTTTTTTTGGTTAATTGATATTCAATTGGTACTTATGATAGACCAGTAACTGTGTTAATCAATCTGTAATGGTGGCTTTGGGGAAAATGTAGAGGGCATTAAGGGAGATATTCCCCAGAACTCTTAAGATATAAAGGTATCAGTGGGCTGCTGCTGTGGCTAATTTTAAGGGCAGCCCTCCTGTGTTTCTCTCTCTCTCTCACACACACATACACACACTTTCTTATTATATTCTATGACAATTTTCTTTTATGTTTACTTTTAAATTTTATTATCTTAAAAATCTTAATGTGCCATCTCAAATACTTTTTGAACAAGGCTGAAAACAAATAAAATCAAAGTAAGAAAACTTCAGTTCCTGCCAACCTGATGAATCCAATATTTTTCATTTCTATTTTCTGCCAACCTCTATCCATGTGAATAGATATTTTGCACATATTTATAGTCAGTGTGTTTGAGTAAAAGAATAAAAAACCATTTGTCCTCTTTCAAGGAAGAATGGCACAAGAGGGCTGTATATACTTCAGGGGTCCCATACATAGAATACTTGGGGCTAAACTGCCACGTCCTCCCTGTCCGTGGGCTGCAGCAGCAGGTAGGCGGCGTGTAGGGAGCAGCTATGTTTAGCCAAGGTGGGTTGTGTGATAAGAGGGAGGCGACCCGGCCACATGCCGTCTGACTCATCCTCTCAAGCACACGTGTCAGTGGCTCCCACAGTCTGGACAGCCTCCTTCCTGCGACAGAGCGTGACTGTAAAAGCAACTTCCCTGGGCTGCCACCCTTAACCTCCACGCACCAAATTTTAGAAACTAACAAGTGTTGGGAGTCAGCAAGCTTTCCATAAATCACATGCATAAGAACATCATTATTACTTGCTTTTGGCCCTCACACAATCGCCCTTTCTCTGGTTTGGAACTGCAGCCGTGCCTCTGTGCAGTGTCTGATTCTTCCCCAGGATCCATAGCAATCTGCTGGGGTGCTAAACGGATGTTGAAATGGAGCGACTTTAAGCACTACTTCAAAGCTGGCACAAATATAAATCATGTAAAATATATGTGACATATAATATGTAATATACAGAATTTCAGATCAGAGCTGGTCCAATATAATTTTTGGGATTATTTGAGGGGCTCAGGAGATGAAAGATAAACACACAGCACAATTTTGAGCACAGATTGAAATCAATTCTTTACAGTTACTGGCTCTATGACCACGGACAATTCCATTTCCCAGGTCCTCAGTTTCTTTGTCTTTATTTTGGGTATATTTGTGTGCTCCACAAGGTTGGTGAGTTTTGCCAGAGGGGGGAACATGAATGGCACAGTGGCTGATCTTGCAAGTAATCAGTGCATGTCTGACAGGCATTTGCTAAAGGCTAAGAGAGTGGAAAATGGCCTCTTTGTAGTTGATATCAGGGCCTCCTCTTCCTAATATGAATCCAGGCTCATTTATATCTGCCTTTCTCCTGGTAACACCGACTACCTGGGTGTTACTACTGCACCGGGTTACTACTGCACCGGGTGTACTACTGGGTGTACTACTACACCAACACCTACTACTCACAAAAGGAAGTTTTCTACAGAAGCCAAAGAAAGCCCTTGTTTACACACATGTGTACACCTTGTTTACACACGTACTTGTTTACATGTGCTAAGTTTGAATCTTAATGTTCCCTAATTCCAAGTTCCAAGCAAACATTGTTTGGCTCAGGGACGTGAATACCAAGGCATACATGGGGCTTTGATATTACTGGGTAGTGACAATATGGCTACAAAGTACCCTAACTTATGAAAGGATTAAAAAGAGGTGGGGACCCAACTGTATTTGACCCAGAGCATATAGTTGTGACTTAATACACCTTCTGCTGATACAGTGACAGGAATTTAATTCCCTGAAGCCCTGGTTCATGAAGGCTCATTGGGCAGCTTTAGAGCTTTGCTACTTTGGGAGAGTGATACAGCTTCTGAGCACTTCATCTGTTAATTTGAACCCATAATATCTGCATCCTCTTTTCTAGGGCACTTATGAGGTTCATTTGATGGGTATGCAGACTCATTGTAAATGGTGCAATTCTAGAAATATAAGCAGGCATTACTATACTCTTGTATAGGTTTTTGCGAGTTATTGACCAATTGACGTTTTCTAACATTGTTATTCCTGCATAACTGAACTCCTGAACTCCAAAACATATTAAATTTTAGGGGGGAAACTCACTTCTTCACTTGTTATTATGGTGATCATTATTCATGATTAGGCAGAATTTTGCTGGTTAAGATATAATTTTAGAGGGGCCTAGAAGGACCCTTCTCTGTGCTCCATTCCCAAATATATTTGTGACAAACTTGCTAACACTGTAAAGTTTTGAAATTAGTAATTCACTTCACTGTTACTCTTTAAATTGAATTACATTTTAAGTTCTACCATTTATATATACCTTATTAGGAATCAAGTTGATCTAATCATTTTATGTTTTTAATAGGGGAAACGAAATGTAACATAAGCTAATGGGAGTGGGGCCAAAGACTCAGAAATGAGAGCAGAAAGGTAACACAGTGAGTATGCAGATGTTGGAATTTTTCTTTTTGTGGGTGGTAGACTGTGTGCACTGTGTCTAATAATTAACATTGCTTTAGTTCGAGAGGTGACAAGAAATCATACAAAGTTATCTAGAAATAAAACCTTCTCTACATCAGTATGTGGTATGGAAGAAGAAGAAGAGAAATGGGTCTTACCCAACAGGTCTTGTGTCTTCAATGGCTCTGTCCACCGGGATCAAATCGCTGAGGTAGACATTGAAGTTTCCTTCTTTCCATCTTCTTTCTGCCTCCTTCTCCTTTCCAGGGGGAACAACTATAGGACGTCCAAACTGACCTGGAGCTTTAGGGTCCCTTGGAGAAAGTGTCATATCAATGCTTAATACCTGGTGCATTTGATGGTCTTCAGGTAGAAGGGCTTTTGCATGCTTTTGGTTGAGTTCTTTATGCTGGACCTTGGCAGTTAAGCTGATTCTTGCTGGCTTTGGTCCCCCAGCTAAGACTTGATTGGTTTGAGACAATGTTGCTCTCTGTAGTGCAAGTACAGAGAAAGATGCCTCAGTTCTATTCCTGGAACTGTGTTTCCCTTGGCTTTTATCCAATACTAAAGGAAATATAGTTTTGGTTTTAGGATTGGGGACCTGTTTGGTGTCTGTCTTTAGCTCCTCCTCCTTGGTTATAATCACAACATGGCTTTCAGAGAAATTGAGTTTCTTCCCAACAACCACTTTGGCTCCATCATTCTTTGGCAAGCCTCCCAACAGTGTCTCATTAATAGATTGCTTCTTTAAGTGATTTGAATTGGCAATGATCTTGGAAAAGGGACGGTTATTGGCTTTGTGATTATATGCATTTAGTTCTTTGCTCTGAGACTCAGTTTTATTTAAGGCTATGGTTTCCCTAGATTTGGGCACTGGTGGGCCAACAGTGTATATCCCCTCACTTGCTACTGCCTGTGATTGCTGCTTTGATCTGTCGCTATTAAGCCTGATGGTCACATTCAGGTTCCTTTCAGGGGCTTGTTTGGATGTGTCATTGCTGTGACTATGTCTCTTCTGGACCTCCTGGTTTAAACCAATGGGTCCTGTGTGTACAGATATTTGGGGCAATGATGTTCCTCTTGCTGCTATGAATGTGGTTTCCTGAGCTCCCTGAACTGTCGTTTGCTTTGGTGTCACAGAATGAGAGTAGGCTTCAGGTTCAATGTCACGTTCCTCTGTCATCAGCTTGGTAAAAGTCATAAGGAGGGTCTGCAGATGTACAGGAGGCCACAGAGGTGCAATCTTGACACTTCCTGGAGCATTCTGCATTTTTCTTTCCTTCTGGGTTTGGTCCAAATCATCTTCAATCTTGAGCACATGCCCCTCTGTTTTTCTAAAGGTTTCTTTGCCCCATATGCCCTTCCCGTGTCCCCTTAGTGGCCGCTTCATCTCTTTTATGCTGCTGTAAAGGATCTTCATTTGGTCTGGCTGAACCCTGAACCCTATCCTTTCCTTTTTGATGATGTCTTCCTTCAGGACCCCAGTGTTAATCTCACTGAATGAGAGGCGGAGAGCTGCCATGTCAAAGAGCAGCCAGATGACAGAAGCTACAAATATAAATGCCAGGACTCGCCCACTTCCTCGGAAAAACTTTCGGATCTTGTTCATGGTACAAAAGCGTCCCTTGCAGCCTACCCTCCCTTTGAGCCTGCTTACCTTGAGTGGAGAGGGAGCTGAAGTAGTAGTAGCAGCAGCAGCAGCAGCAGCAGCAGCAGCAGCAGCAACAGCAGCAGAATTGCCAGAAAGTGCCCCCCTCCCCTGAACACAGCAGGAAATAGCAGTCCAAGGGGAAAGCTCAGCTCCTACTGCTTGTCAGTCTCTGCCAGCGTGGCATTTCACAGCAGAGCATCTGTGCCTGCTAGGCTGGCCCCTGGCTAAACCCTGACAAACACTGTCCTTAGGTCACTCTGGGAACAGTCAATTCCAGCTGCCAGATAGTTCAACATATCACTCTTTTTGTCTCTGGGAGCCCATGTCCACCTTCCTACAAGCCCAAGAAAAGGTGGGGGCCGGGCTGGAGCTGCTGCTTCTCTCCTCCCCGGTTTTCAGCCTGCACGCTGTAACTCAACACCACTTCTCATAAGGAAAACATTTCAAGCCATTACCCAGAAAACTTCATTCAGCTCTCACCTTCTGTGTTATGTGAGAGTGTGTATGTTTTCAGGGCAATTAAAGGGAATGAAAGCTATCTCACTTGGAGGGCATGTGTTCCTGGTTTGTAACCCCACCTACCCCATTCCTGCTTGTTAACCCTGTTGTACCCAGGTCTTTCAATGATCTGCCTGAGCAATTAATCACCGGCCTTAACGTTTCAGCTTTAAGAGATAGCAGCTGAAAGAAGGCGCCTAACATAACCTCAAAACCAGAGGCAGTTGTGTAATGAAGCCTTCCTTGAGGGGCTATCAAAATGTTGCTTTGTAAGTCAGCCTTTATTTTAAACTAGTCCATCTATTTTTATTATTTGATTTAATAGATGTAAATGCAACTTGTCACATTGGTATAAAAGTTTCTAAAAACTCACTCAGTTTCTGTACCCATCTCATTACAGACCATAGCAGTTTGCTGATCGCACTGAACTTGGACCAGACTGTGAGTGGCGCTTGTAGATGGGTATAAGAGTGGTCCCCACATAGGCTTTGCCTTAAAATCACTCTGAAGAAGTTTTCCCTATCTGATTAATTTGTGGGGGGAGAGGGTAGAGATGACAGTTCATCTGGTATTGTGTTTTTAAGAAGTTTCCCAGGTTTTTCTAATATAAACCCAAAGTCTACCATAAAATGCCTCAGTGTTATTTTCTGTTTGTTTTTGAATACTGCCTACAGCTTTTGTGAAATTCCTTCTCAGACAGAATAAAACTTTATAAAAACTATACATTCTTAGGACAACTGAATCAGAATCTGCATTTTAACATCACCTGTGATAAACATTGCCCATAAAGTGTGAGCAGCACTGCCCTGGAGAACTATTTTCTGAGGAGCTCTGACTTTTTAAAAAAAAGATTTTATTTACTTATTGGTTTTTGGAGAGAAAAGGGAAGGAGAAAGAGAAAGAGAGAAACATCAATGTGTGGTTGCCTCTTGCGTGTCCCCTACTGAGGACCTGGCCCATAACCCAGGCCATGTGCCCTGACTGGGAATAGAACCAGTCACCCTTTGGTTTACAGGCCAGCACTCAATCTCCTAAGTCACACCAGCCAGAGTGGAGCTCTGACTTATTTGTGTTAGGAGGGCTATAGTGTCACCGACTTGAGACTATCTTAGATTCCCAAAAACTTGGGAAAGGAAGAAGGAAAGATTCTGAATTCTTTACACTTATGCCATTGCCTTGCATTTGGCTTTTAAATTTATACTTGGCCTCAAGGGAAGGAACTCTGATAAATGTAGCTAAGGTAACGTGTTTCTTGCATCCCTGATTCTCCCCTTTATTCAGTGACTGCTCACTCTGATTTGAAATACTTACATGAGGATTAGCATGGGTAGCTTCACCATTTCCCCCATGCACTTTTTCTTGCTCCATTGATATTTCCAATGTTTGTTGAGTGTTTTCTGTGGCTCAGGCCCTATATTTGGTGTTGAGGGGTATTGAATAAAAGGATTTGGTTCTTGTCTTTGAGATTTCACAGTCAGGTAATTAGATACAAACAGGTAGGTCCATATATAATTCAAAACAAGTAATATGAGAGAATAATATCTCAGATTCTGTGGGGATGTAGTTTAGTTTTAGAATGCATGGGCAACTTTTGAAGAAGATATCCTTAGACTTTAGGGATGAATAAGAACGTAAGGATCTCTTCTTATACTGTGGTCCAAGAAAATAAATATTAGCTGGATGGTGAAAGGTAGATAAATTACCCAAAGCATGGAAGTGAAGAGAGAGTATTGTACCTTATGGGAAGCACAAGTTTTGGAGAACCAGCCTGATTGGAAATATAGGCCTTGGTGTTAACTTGTGTGCGTGTGTGTACACATCCCCAACACTTTGTTAAGCTCTTTCCATTAAGTATCTGAGTCTTCACAAAAATGAGAAAGATACACTTATAACTATACAGTGGCACCTGGGTACTTGTCAGCTTCAGAATTCAACAAACATGGTACTGGTCACATTTTGACAAAAAAATTGTTTCAGCACTTGGCACTTGCTCACCTCTCGCTGCACCTGCTGGAACTTGTATGAGCAATGATGCCACCCTGCAAGAGAAAATGATTCATCGATCATCGCTCACTTTCCACTCATCAGAATGAATTAATGATGAGTACTAAGGAGGTACCACTGTACTCTGTAATTGATGAAACAAACTCTTAGGGAGGTGAAGCAACTTGTGGAAGAGATTAGAGGAATTGGATCTCGAGTAAATGACTGCATGATGCTATAATCCATATGCTTAAATACCACAGAGTACTGCTTTTTTAGCTCTATGACTTTGCAAGTTGGTTAATTATATGTGTTTTCTTAGCAATAAAAAAGAAAATTTCTGCTTTTCAGGTTAATGCGGACATTACAGAGCATGATTTAAAGTTCTTGTTATAGATAAGGCAGTCTATAAATGATAGTTACTGTCATTAATACTGCTGCTAGTGTTTTGTTGTGATTGGAATGTGGGGTACAGTGGAATACAGTGTACCAGCTCATCCTAAAACTCAAATAGAAGGCTGATAACTGACATGATATTGGCAATGGGTCAAGTACATCTGTGTATTTTATTTTATTTTTGCTGTTCCTATTTTATTTTATTATGGATTTAATCAATGAACAGTTATTCACAGAGAACTAACTACATGAACAAAACATGAAATAGGTGACATCACTTTTGCCCCTAATAATCTTAAAACTCACTGAATAGAATATCTTCAATACAAAACATAGCACAACTATTAAGGATCCATGTTCTAAAATAAAGTGAGATTTTTCAGTGTCAGGGATAAGTGTTTTGCATTATAATATTGTTTTAAATTTAAAAATAGAGCATTTGCAAATATTTTACTATAAAAGATTTGTCTTGTCCAACCATGTCTCCATTACAAATGGCAGCTGAAATCACTCAAACTCCTGTGAGAATAGTTAACACTTGTTGCATCCTTATTATACTTGACTGCTTGGAAAATATTCTGAGTTTTCTATATTTATTTGATCTAAGAACAATGATCTCTCTCTCTCTCTGTCTCTTATCTCTGACCCATCCTTAATAGTAAAAACATAAGTTACTTTAAACAGAAGGGAAAAATGTTAAGAAAAATAAAGGAGAGTTTTGACTTTAATTTGGGGAAAGTTACTTATTACCTCTGGCTGAGTCTTTAGTTTTAGTAGACATAGAATTTAGAATAAGACATAATAGTACATAAGAGAGGAAAGAAGTATCATTAAGTCCTCCATGAAAGGAGGAGTGGATTGATAGATAGTCAGACCTAGTCTAAAGTACTAACTTGGTTCCTCAAAAGTTGTCCTAACCTCTTCTTCCCCAGTGAGTCCCCAGCAGATAAACATCTCTCCTTTTTTTCCTCTTTTGTCTGGACATACATGATATTCAGCCCATTAACAAAGTATGGATAAAAAAATAGAAAAAAAATAAATTAAGAAATTTTACCTTTGCCCTGGCTGGTGTAGCTCAATGGATTGAGTGCAGGCCTGCAAACCAAAGAGTTGCCTGTTTGACTCCCAGTCATGGCACATGCCTGGGTTGCAGGCCAGGTCCCCAGTAGGGGGTGTGTGTGAAGCAACCACACACTGATGTTTTTCTTCCCCTCTCCTTCCCTTCCCTTCTCTCTAAAAATAAATAACTAAAATCTTTAAAACAAGAAATTTTACCATAATAGAAGTCAAAACACATTATCCAAAAGGAGACTTTTCATAGGTAAGTTCTGCTGTTTTTTATTTTAGTTGCATTAATGTCCATGTTGCCAGCAAAAAACTAAATACATAATTTTAATTTGGGCTATTTCAAGTTATCTAACTGTCATCTCAAATTGTACGTTTAGCCAGTCAAATTTTTCAAGAATCTCCACATACTAAGTTGAAATGGATATCAGCCTGAAAATCTAGCTATGGGGTGTCTTTGGGAAGCTTTAGAGGGGTTATTCTCATTCTCAGTTTGAATCTACCTGTATAGCAAAAAATTGAAAATATATTTTGAGTTCATTCTTTGTAATATGAGTATATTAGTGGGAGAACATTCCTTTTACTCTACTTCATCGATTGTCAACTTGTATGCCATAAGAATTTTTAAAACATGCAATACCTGACTATTTAGTCAGTGGCACTGACCTCTTTACCCTTAGATTGTCAAATAAAAAAAAATAGCCCTGGCTGGTGTAGCTCAGTGGATTGAGCACAGGCTGCAAATCAAAGAGTTTCAGGTTCGATTCCTGGTCAAGGCACATGCCTGGGTTGCGGGCCAAGTTTCCAGTGGGGGCCATGTGAGAGGCAACCACACATTGATGTTTCTCTCCCTCTCTTTCTCCCTCCCTTCCACCTCTTTCTCCCTCTCTTCCCCTCTCTCTAAAAATAAATAAATAAAATCTTTAAAAAAAAAGACTTTAAAAATAATAGCCCTGGCTGGTGAGGCTCAATGGTTGAGTGCCAGCCTGTGAATCAAAGGGTCACCTGTTCAATTCCCAGTCTAGGGCACATGCCTGGGTCGTGGGCCAGGTCCCCAGTAGTGGGTAAGCCTGCAACCCAGACATGAGAGGCAACCACACAGTGGTGTTTCTTTCCCTCTCTCCATTCCTTCCTCTTTCTAAAAATAAATAAATACAATCTTTAAAAAACAACAACAGCCAACACAACAATAGCCATCCTGTGTGAATGTGGCAAAATTATACCTATTTTTTGTCAAATTGTCAAAAAACATATTTTTGGTATGTTGCAGAATTATGGTAATTAGTTTATGTGTGCCATGAGATAAAGGTTCAAAGGATAATCATATTAATAACAACCATTTATTGAGAATTTACTGAGTGCCTGCCACTACATTCTTCCAGACTAGATCATGAACCATTTAGCAGGAGAGCTCTGTACACAGTGGGATCTGTATGCTTGTTCTGCTTTCACTGCACGTATCTCTGAATCATCCTCATTAGTGATCAGTAGGAGTTCAATAAACATGTTTTTATTCCTATTTTTAAATTTCCCCAGTGGGAATAGAGAATCTCAGAAGAATTGATTCCAGTTCTTTGACTTTGCATCAGATGTTACACTCTCAGGGTATATGAAGGTCTCTTGACTATGTGAATGTAGTGTAAGTGTTAACTAATGGCTATTGTCTTTTACAATATTTACTCAATAGCTTACCCTAATCATAAAGAATATAAAGAAAAATATGGTTAAACATATATTTTGAAGAGAATAATGGTAATCTATCGATGCATCACTGACTTTGAATTTAGGTTTAAATTTGGGGACTCCAGTTAAAGTCTGCATAAGATGAGGACATTTGAATGAGAAAACTGAGTAAATATTAAATATCACTTTATTGTCTTATTTTAATATGCCCACCTTTTCCTTTAAAGTTTTTTTGAGAAGAAACAAATTATATTCAACAGGATAACACTATCCTGTGGACAAAATCCACACACACACACCAAAAAAAATATTAAAATAGAAATTTAAAGACTAGAGTTATTGCAAAATTCATGGCTAGCATAAAAATACAAGTGAGTAGGTCAGGAATGGAGTCCCAGAATTTGGGCTTATAACTAGTTTCCTAACGAAGCTAACGGTGCTAGTCCCAGGACCACACTTTGTGAAACATTGCCTTTGGCTGAGCATAAGGAACCTGGATGAGAAATGTTTGTGGAGGATGATGACAATTTTGATTGTTATATTGAATTTGAATCATCAGTGATGTATTTGATTAGCAATATCCTTTTTAAAAAAAATTGGCTTAGATTTTAGGAAAGAACCCAGGGCTGAAAGCCTTTGTGGAAATGTGAGCATGTATTTGATACCGCATGCATAAGGTTACTCAGATACCACACAGATCACAAAATGAGAAAATGGTGGGGAAACTGGTATGAAGAAGGTAGAGAAGTATATAATAAGAAAGAGACTGAGAAAGAACAGTTAGAGAAAGCAAAGGCTGGTAAAGAATAATGCCATAAAATCCCAGAGAGGAGAAAATGGAAAATGTTCAACAGCATCAGATGTTTCTAAGAAGTTAAACAAAATATGTAAAAGTAGTCCTTTAGGCACAGGCAAATTATTTAATTCATTTTAGATATGACTGGGAGCTCGTTTCACTCTGAAATTGTACCTGTGCCTAAATAAATGAATGCTGTTTTAATAAATAAAATCCTCTCATACATAAATAATTTTGTATATTTTTCTTAAAATATGGAGAAATAAAAGGGATAAGTTGGTACCTTGATGAGCTGCCTTTTATATGAGGATGGGCAAAACCTGAATGCTTTTGAAGACTAAGGCATAGAGGTGATAACATTGAAGATTAAGTATGAATAAGACCTTATCAGACTAAAGTGAGGTTCCAGAAGAGACAGGAAACCAGTTTAAGAACACAGGCAAATTACTTAATTCATTTTAGATATGACTGGGTGCTCGTTTCCTTCTGAAATTATACCTGTTCCAGGGCAGATAAGGATGAGTGGAGATGAAAAGAAGGGAAGTTCAGAGAGTTCGTGGTCATTGTTTTAGGTATGTACGAGGCAGACAGTGAGAAGTAGGGGGTGGGTGGAAAGGGGATCAATGTACTTGGTAAAGATTGGAGTCACTTGTTATGAAGAGAAAGAAATGCTGCTGACTCAGAACAAGAATATGGATTGTTAGACAGTTTTGAGAATCCTGCTGACATTTAAGTCAATGTCTCTAATCTTGGGAAGAACACATTGAGTCACACTAGAACAGTGGGGATCTGGAAAATGCATTGAGTCAGCTAGAACAGTGGGGATCTGGACAGTCCCACAGCACCCATGAGGCAGAGTGTTCACGGGTGATAGGGCAATAGGCAGGAGTGATGATTTCTAATCAGCTTGGTAGGGAGCCAGATGTCATGGAAAACTTCTTGAAGGAAGTGGAATGGTTGGATCTTGAAGCCTTGATAGAACTCTTAAAGTTCAGTGTAGGAAGTAGGTACTAGGGTTTGCTTTTATTCTTATGTTTTGCTTGTCTTTGTTCATTTGTTCATGTGTGTGTGTGTGTGTGTGTGTGTGTGTGTGTAAGGAAATATTCTTCAATGACCACAGGCATGTCAGGGGCTTTGTCTTTTGAAAATCTATCACAAATCATATAAAAATCCTTCATTGTGTCTTTTGGCAGAAACTGGATTAGTTTTCAGCTGCTCTCTGACATCATTCACTTAAAAGTTCCAATGATTCATACACAAGGCTTAGGCTGAAAAAAAAAAAAAAGACCTGGGTGAGACTCTTTAGGGTGTGGCCAGAGCTAAATTTTCAGGTGGGGTGGAAGGACTGATTGGTGTCCAACCCTCTGTCCTGGCCTCCCAGGAGCTCCACCTGCCTAATGTGAGCCACCTCCATGGTATTCCAGGTGCTACACCGGTAATGCCCTCAGAATGTGTCCTGACTCCTCTTCCTCTTCTCATCTTTCCTACCCTGAAATCTGACTATTCTCTCTATAATCTCCATTTCAACAAAGAGAATAGAAGGAAGAGGAGAGGAGTAGAAAAATAAGTGTTGTGGGAGGAGCAGACTGCAGGAACTTTGGAGGACATTTGAGGGCACTTCTCAGGTGCTGTGAAGAAGTGGGATGAAATGAAAGCCTTTCAGAAAGGGCTAGATGCTGCCTCATATCTCTCCCCACCACCTCAGTTTTTGCCCCAAGTGGGAAGATCAAAATAACCTTCTGTGGGGTGAAATGATGACCTTGGATCCAATTACGTTATCATAACCTGGAAATAACCCTTGCTGAGGTACTTTGCAGGCTTGCTGAAGTGCTGAACTGTGAAACTCACAATGTGAGAGATGAAAGAGTTTTGAACTCAGGGCTCTTTGGACATTTCCCTCAATATCAAAGGATTTTTATCTCTCCTCTCTGAAAATAGGATATGAATAAGACAAGTGATAATCTAACTGAGAAATGGTGGAAACAATAACTAATTGGAAATGAAACTAAAAGAGGAAAGGAAAAATGGGTTCAGATTAATGTCAGGCTTGCAGTTATCAAGGGATCTGAATTTGTTTACATTATCACATATTTTCAGGATTACGGAATAATGTGAAGTGTCTAAGTGTTTTTGTTATCCCTGGGAGTTGAGGATTAAGTAACTTTTCAAGGCTGGGCACACAGCAGACAGGAGTATGCAAAGGTCCACTCATGGTTGGGCTGAGAAATTGTAAATATAGCTTTAAAGTCCCCCACTTCCTTTCCAGAAGTATGAAATAATCCTGGAAATAGTTAAACTCTCTCCATGAATTTGGGCTGGATTGGAGCCATGCAAAGAAGGAGCATGTGAGAAAGAAGAAAAGATGAGCAATGTGTATATTTTACATGTGCACACATATGTGACTATACATTTATATGCAGACACACAAGCTGCATGTGTGGTTTATGTTTGTGTGTGCATGTAGATATTTACACAAATACTATGCATAGAGTTCACAGAGCACACCCAAACAAACACACACCAGATGTGCTGATTTTGAGGTCTGTAAGAAAGAGAGAGAAATGAAATGGCTTTTGAGGACATTGGTCATACTATCAGATACACTGCTTTTTGGAGGACATATAATGTGTTTTGTGCATGTTTATTTTGGGTAAGAGGAGACTCAGGGGCAACAAAATAACTGCTTCAAAATTTTGGATATCATGTGAAAAAAGGATGTAGCTCATTCCATATGGTTCCGTCGGGTAGAAAGGAGCCTGAGGCATAGCAGATTTCTGTTCTAAATGAGAACAACTTTCTAACAATTAGTACTATACAAAAGAGATATGTATTCCTTCTAAAAGTAGATAATGATCTGCCTGCTCTCGGAAATGACATGTGGCAGAGGCTGCATGGCCATCTGTCACGAAAGTTGCAGGGGGCATTTTTCCACTTGGTGGGGTCTGGACTGCAGTCAGTGGTTGTGCCATCTCCGTTTGGAAATTCCATGGTTGTCTCAATCAAACACATAAGCACATTTTGAGGAAAGTCAAGTCATATAATGGTTTTGGTTTTCTGACTGGTTTTATTTTATTCAGTAACTTATGAGCAGCTAACTCCTATCTCAATAGGTTCTAGAAATAGCAATTTTTCTGCTTTTTACTTGATTTCTGTTCTCCCCACTTCTTTTCCTCACCTTTAATTTCTGTGTTTTTTGTTCTTTTTTCCTTGTTTTTTTCTTTATTTTTCCTGTGCCCTACAGACATAAGGGATGGAATGAAGGCAATGTTCACTGAGAAAGTAAGATAAGAAAGAAAAGTGTTTGAGTCAGTTAACTTTTATTTTCACTTCAAATCCTGGCTGTGTCTAAGTATGTGAATATGTGTATGTACATTTGAGCATGCATGTGTGTGTAGATCCTCAGTGAGTTGTGGAATTGCCTAGAAAATAAGGCTTGTAGTATTTTTAACTGAGGTAGTTCATTTCCGAAATAAATGTTTACAAGAGTTGGGGGTTGGGAACTTTTGATCGTCACAAAACCTGGGGCTGCTACTGGCATTTAAGGGGAGAAAGGAAGGAATGCTCAGTGTTCTGAAAGCTTTGAGACAGTCCCATCCAATCAAGTATTATGCCACCCAAATGACAGCACAGCTACATTGAGGAATACTAGATAAAGGCTTTAGAGATAGATTATCTGGGTTTGAATGTGTTTCTGCCAATTTTAGCTCTGTGATCTTGGACAAGTACTTTAATCTCTCTGGGCTTTTGTTTTCTTATCTGTAACACAGAGGGTAATAAGAGCACCCAATTCACAGTATTGTTAGGAAGATTAAATAAATGAATAACATAAGTGCTTAGAGGAGCACAGATAATAAGACACACTCAAAAAGTGTCAGCAACAATTTTTATTTTTTTGTAGCGGGTATTTGGATTCATTTATATATTGAGTATATGAGAGTTTCTTTTATTGCATATGCTTTAAACAGTTTTTGGGAATCAGAAGCTAATGAACCAACATGTAAAAACTGTGGTCTGCAGACTCCTTGAAGTTAGGAAGCTGCTGTGATATCACCATGGTAAGTGTGCAGTAATCCTTGATGAGATAAAGTTAGTCTGCCTTTCCTTCTCCTCCTCTCATGTATATGTACCCAACTATTTCCCTAGTGCACACACGGTTCTAATTAATAAAATATGCATTCATTTAAAGACCCAGGGTTTTTTTCAGTATGTATTTGTTCAATAAGTAGATACAAAAATGCATTTACAATATGTAGGGACTATAGAATTTTCAAGAGTGTTTTTTTCTTTATTATGCTTGAAAAGCGTGTGATTCATACTACAGACCATTCCTAATCCTACAATAATAATGAAGACTATTTTATCCTTTTAAAGGCGGACTCAGATGGCATTTCAAGATTTGTTACTTTTCAAGGTCACATTCATGGACTCTAACGATAATTCTGTTATAGTTCTAGAGGGCACATTTGATTAAGTGGAATCTGTTAAAACTATGTAACACCAAAGAAATTGCTTTTAGAAAAAAATCTATTACATTTAGTTTACTTTTCATTTTTAATCTATTTTATTATAATAGAGTCAAGATGCTTCATAATGGTGTACACTTTGGTATGATAACGATACTTCCACTTGATTTTGTCCTATCTGTTTAAGTAATTTCCCTATACTTTTTTGACTGGCTTATTTGGAGAGAAACACAAATACGTATGACAGTGTGTGAATTGAACATGTTCCTCCATGATATGACTATTGTATTTTTTATGAATATACAATGAGAGGTGTTAAACCGTTTCCTGCCTTTCCTGAATGCACTTTTTTCTCTCCCTCTGGTGCAGGTGACCTGCATATACTGGATGCCCCAAATTCCGTGGAGAAAATGGAGACATTTTATAGTTTATTAAAATATGCATGCTTACCTATTTTCATTATTTATTATGAGGATTAAATGACTTCTTACAGGTCAAATGCTTAGAAAAGCACAGACAAGTTAAACACATTCAGTAAGTGTTAGCTACAATTTTGATTCTTTTGAAATAGCAGGGAATGGGCTATTTGAGTTCATCATATATGTTGAGTATGTATAAAAATTCCTGTAGCCAGTTTTTAGCAAACTGGAACAGGATGAACTAGGATTCAAGAAATTCTATGGTGAGGATAGAGGTGTCTTACACTTTATTAAAATAAGAGGACTCCATGTATCACTCTGGCACAAGACCTTGACGGTGGGGGAGGCTGGGCATGTGTGGGGGCCAATAGTACAATATATGTGAACTCTGCACTTTCTGCTCCATTTTACTATGAAAATAAAACTCCTTTTTAAAAAAGCTTATTAAGCACTCAAAATACTATTGAGATTAAGATCTGAATTGTAAAACAACAATAATAACATTTGAGTAATTAGGCATTTTTAGTACCAAAAATTTAAATTACTTCTTTTCTGTCATGTATACTCATACTCCCAACTCCACTGGGGGTTACAAAAATTTGACATCATGAGGAATTGCACTACTGATTTGTGTTTGCCTGCCTCTGAGGAAGCTCAGTCTAGAGAGGAAAACTGATGAGCAGGTGTCTTTATGGCTGTATGACTGGCCTGCTTAGGGTACTGCTGGTTGGTCTGCAGTGCTCATGGTCCACTGTTTTACATAGCTGTGATCTGGGTATAGTTTGCATTGTTTTCTTTCATCTTTACAATTCTGTTTGTGCTTTTGTGCATTAAAGGTTTGATTACATTCAAAATGTGACTACTCACCCATTATTCATTTTTTTAGTGAGGAAACAGAAACATTAAATAGAACACTTCATGCACAAAAATAAGTTCTCTATAGGGAGACAGCCTGGTATAGTGAAGAGCAGACAGGATTTGAGGTCACCAAGTCTCAAAGTCATATTTCAGCACTGCCACTTTTAGCGATGGAACTTTGGCACCTCAGTATCCTCATTGACCTTCAGTTTCCTCATGGGAAAGCTATGAATTTTGATGCCTCTTTCATGGAGTTGTGAGAATTGGAGCAGGAAGGTGAAAGGTAAGCAGAATTATGTAGGAATGCAGATTGGTGCAGCCACTGTAGAAAACAGTATGGAATTCTCTCAGAAAACTAAAAATGGAACTGCCTTTTGACCCAGCAATTCCACTGCTGGGTTTAAACCCTAAGATTCTGAAACATCAACTCAAAAGAACCTATGCACCCCAATGTTCATAGCAGAACAATTTACAATAGCCAAGTGCTGGAAGCAACTTAAGTAAATGAATGGATCAAAGAACTGTGGTACATTTACATGATAGAATACTACACACCAGAAAGGAGAAGGAGCTTCTACAGTTTGGAAGTGGATACAGTCACCAGTGGATGGAACTGGAAAGCACTATGCTAAGTGAAACAAGGAAGGCAGTGAAAGAGAAATACCGCATGATCTCACCTGTAAGTGGAACCTAATCAACAAAGCAAAGAAGCAGGCAAAGTACAACCAGAGACATTGAAATAAAGAACAATCTGGCGGTAACCAGAGAGGAGTGGGGAGGGGGATAATGGGTGGCATCAAGGAACATGTATGAAGGACACATGGACAAAGCCAAAGAGGGTGTGTTTGAGGGTGGGAAGTGGAGATGAGTGGGGCGGGGGGGATGGTGGGGTGAAAATGGAGACAATTGTACCTGAACAACAATATAAATAAATAAATAAATAAATAAATAAATAAATAAATAAATAAATACTTAAAAATAAAAGGTAAGCAGAATTACAAGGAGAGTAAAAACACCTATCTCTGTGTCTGGCACATAGTAGATGCTTATTAAATGCTAAGGTATCAATTATTGGCAATTATTATTATTATCATTATGGTAGAATTTCTGATAAATGAGTTTTGTTAAAGTATTGTCACTTGTTTTCAATTGTGACACTGTAGAGTGGTGCCTTAACAGCAACAACAACAACAAAGGATTGGAGACTAAGCTCAACAATTGGCTAAGTAAATACGCAGAAGTCTACAGTCTCCGGACAATATTACGCAAAGCCTTTAGGGACAAGATACAAGAACTACCCCATGTGACCCAAGTGTACAAATAACTCCTTAGCATTCATGAGATTAGAGTGTGCTTGAAAATTTCCAAGAAATAATCCATATTGGACTATGATTTGATGTGGATAATCAAAGGTCTAATTTACAATCAGTAGGAGCTGACTAAACTACAATAAGAATAAATGATAAACCAGGACATTATAAATTTATTTATCAGTGATTCATTCCACAGTGTTATGTGATAGGCTTTGTGTTATGTGCTGGAAGTGAGGGTACAAAAATTTATAAGATGTTGTCATTAAAATCAAGTTTCTTAGGCTAATAAGCTAGCAATCTATAACACAGATAAATGAAAATATTACAGAGAATTTTATGCCACAGTTTGTACACAAAAGGATTTTTGGTTAACTTGGAACAGTCAGGGTAAATAATTATTGGGATGAGGAATAAAGATTGAATAAGAACTGTCAAGAAAGACAAAAGGAATGGATAGTTCCAGTTAGAAGGGACAGTGTGTGCAAAGACAAAGTGATGGAAGCAGCATGTGGCACAGGTGGTTGATCAGGGAAAATGCAGAAAATAAACCTGGAGGTGGAAGCAGGGACCATGATGACATTGTTCATGTGCTATATTAAGATGCAAAAGAAGAGGCCCAACAAACAACAGTAGTAGGAAGGAGTTTCTTAGCTGCCACTTTTGGTCAGCGAGCTAAACTTCTCAGGGCCCCACATCACCTGGGTTTTTGTTACAGGTTTTCTCTGAGTTTCTTTTTCCCTGACCTGACTCTGCTCTCCAAGGGAATCAATCACATACCTTGTGGTCACACTGATCACCAATGCTACAGAGCATTTTTGTGCCTTATGTGGAAGACATAAGAGTTCTTAGGAGTGGAGTTTTTGGTAGAAGAACAAAAATTATGGTAATATGGTAAAAAAATCTGTTGGTGAGATTATAAAAACAGAGTCTGTTCTATAAAATGATCCTGGTATCTCCTCACCCACCAATCCATTTCCCTGTTTTACTAGTTTTACTAGCCTGATTCTCCCAAATGTTAAATTCATTTCAGGATTTAAGAGACTGCCAGATATTTTAAAACTCTCCCTCTGTGGTTTCTCATTTGAGACTGCTCTTGTGGGATTGGTTCCCACATAATGGATTTCCCCAATCTCTCTCAATCTTCTCAGACTCAAGCAAAATCGTCCTGCATATCTAGTGACTAGTCATACCATCTGGCCAACTAGTTTATTCTCCAGTATTAATGGCTCATCATGGTTCAATAGTTTTACTTTACCAAAGAAGAGTATGCTTAATGTCTTCACCATGATGTTCCCATTGTCTCACCTTTCTTGCCTACACCCAATTTAGGCTCTTAGGCAATACTTCATGAATGGGAAATCAGTTTTTCATAAAACTTGTTTTTAATAATTTCCCATATAACCCTTTTCCCCACCCACATCTGCTACATAGCTTCCTCCATTATCAACAACCCCTACCAGAGTGATACATTAGTTATAATCAATGAACCTGCATTGACACCTTATGATTGACCAGAGTCCATAGTTTACATTATAGTTTACTTTTGGTGTTGTATATTCTATGAGTTTGGACAGATGTATAATGACATGTATCTATTATTGTGCTATCATATAGAAATGTAATATTACAAAATCATATTTTCACTGCCCTAAAATCCTCTTTCCTCTTTTTATTCATCTTCCTTTTATTCATCCTTCCTCTTTTATTCATCCTTACATAGTTTTGCCTTTCCCAGAATGTCATACAGTTGGAATAATACATTATATAGACTTTTCAGATTGGCTTATTTCACTTAGTAATATGCATATAAGTTTATTCCATGTCTTTTCATGGCTTGATAGCTCATTTTTATTATTGAATAATATTACATTGCCTGGATGTACCACTGTTTATCTATTCACCTACTGAAGAACAACTTAGTTACTTCTGAGTTTTTGAAATTATAAATAAAGCTGCTATAAAAATCTTGGTGCAAAACTCAACATAAAAAATAAAACAATTGAAAAACAGGCAAAGGACCTGAATAGATACTACTCCAAAGAGGACATATAGATGACCAACAGACACATGAAAAGATGGTCAATATCACTAATCATCAAAGAAACACAAATTAAAACCATAATGAGATATCACCTCACACCTGTCAGAATTGCTATCATCAATAAATCAACAAACAACAAGCTCTGGCAAGGATGTGGAGAAAGGGGAATCTTTTTGCACTGTTGGTGGGAATGTAGACAGGTGCAGCCACTGTGTAAAGCAGTATGGAGATACCTCAAAAAATTAAAAATGGATCTGCCTTTTGACCTAGTGATCTCACTTTTGGGGACATATCTGAAGGAACTTGAAACACTACTTCAAAGAATAAGCACCCCTGTGTTCATTGCAGCATGATTTACAATCACCAAGATATGGAAGCAGCCCAAGTGTCCATCATCAGATGAGTAGATAAAATATCTATGGGACATTTACACAAATGGAATACTACTCAGCCATAAAAAAGGGAAGTTTTACCCTTTGTGACAGCATGGGCAGACCTGGATAAAATTATGCTAAGTGAAATAAGTCTGTCGGAGAAAGACAAATACCATCTAACTTCACTCATATGTGGAATCTAATGAACAAACAGAACTAACAAGAAAAATAGAGACAGATGCATAGGCAGAGAGCAGGATGAGACCTAAGGAGGGGAGGAACTAAGCAAAAAGGAAAAAGGACTCATGGACATGGACAACAATGTAGTGATTGAGGGGGGAGGAAATTATAAGGGGACCAAGTAGTGATGGAAAAAGTACAATAAATAATGCAAACAAAGTATGTGTGAAGGTTTTTTTGTATGTAGATGTAAATCATTTCTGAACTTTTTCTATTTTTTGAAGCCCATTGAAGTAAATAAAGAATGAGTAAAACAATACCTTTACTATGAAAGAATTCTTTAATGTTAAAGTTCAGATAGGTTTCCATAAGTGGAATGACATCATAGAAGGCTGACCTGGGTGATATTTGTGGAGAGAGGTCTTTAGTTTTCAAATCACTTGGTCCTAAAAGGTCACAGTTCTGCTATATTGAGGTTTTGTGGGGTTTTTTGCTAAAATTCAGTGATTCTCTTCCTTTTCAATTTCAGAGCTATAAACTTTAGTGGTCTATTTAAAGGAATTATAAGAGCTACACTTGCAATGGACAAATCAACAATTCCTACTTCAGTTAGACAATATTTAATATATGCCTTGAACAGCAACTATAATGAAAGAACTCTTCACTTTGTCATGATTCAACTCTTTCCTGTGAGATGGAACATTTACTGTCTTAAATATGATTTCACATATTGTCAGCAGGCAAAGTTCTTTGAGAAAATGCATTATATTTCTGGAGAGCACCACTGTTTTATTCTTTGAGAATGGTGGCCTTAGAGCTGTGCAATACTGCCGGACTGCATGGTGGTTAATCACACAATGTTTGTGTAACTTGGGCTTGACTGTTGCTTTATTCTTCCTTGACCTGTTCTTTTGACTAACTCCTTATACATGCTGCTCAGCTTAATGTTCATCTGATGACCCACAGTAATATTGTCCATATTAACTAGAATAAAGTTAGATCTTGTTCTGGACTTAGGGTCAGTCTCCGCACTGAGTTCTAGAAGGTTGAGTGAGATGATGGAGAGTGTTGTGACTATTTGTCCTTACATAATTTTGTCCTGATTACATGCTTTCACTTGTAGCAAAAGTACATTTTACATGTGGATTAAAAGTCATCCACATTAACTTTTACATCTTTTAAACAGAGTGACCCTATTTGTACTCAGACAATTTATACACAGATATTTGTACAAAGAACTTATCAACATAGCCATCAAAGTTTATAAGCCCTTTAAATTGAGAGACTTGGTTTCTTTCTTTGTTCCCCTTGTATTGTGTAAAGTATTGGGTCACCACTTTGATTTCCTTTCAGTCATTAGCTGGAGGAGCTTCCTAGTCACACAGAATAATTTGTCTTATTCTATTATCACTACTTTGAAGAGTCTCTTAATACTTAAATGAGGAACTCCTCATCTTTGAGTGTTGAAAATATAGCCTTTCATGCAATTTTTAAAGTTGCAGAGGTATGGACTTAACAATTTGTTCACACAAACATGATTATTTTCTCAAGGGAGAAAATGCTGTTCAAATAGACAGAAATATAGTTGTAGAGAAACTCAGTCTATAGTGCTTCCAGTTAGAAGCTAAAAGAAAATAATTTGGCCAGGCTAATAGAAATAATTTTAGAGGTCAGACCAAAAGCACAAAGTTGAAAAGTATAGAAGATTGTCTTGGGAATTCCTTATGAGAAACCCTAGATGACCTGCTATTCAACTGAGCTGTGTGAAATAACAGACTTGATTTTTTTCCAAAAAC